CTCCTTTCGTTTTTAATCAATTCACAGAATGTGATGTTAAGAAGAGCGTAATGTCAATTGCTTCTAATGCGGTTGGCGTTGATGGCATCAGTCGCAATATGATTCTTCCCATCCTCGATGAAATTTTACCAATTATTAGTCATATCCTTAATCAATCCATATTAACTAGTGGCTATCCTAAACTTTGGAAAGATGCACAAATAATCCCTCTTCCCAAAAAGTCTAATCCTACAACCTATTCCGAATTCCGTCCCATCTGTATTCTGCCCTTCCTCTCTAAAGTCCTCGAACGTTTAATCCACAACCAGTTAGCCCTCTTCCTCACCAAAAATAACCTAATGAACCCTTTTCAGTCTGGTTTCCGTCCTGGTCACAGTACAACAACTGCACTCATCAAAATCACTGATGATATCAGGTCGGGTATGGAAAATAACCAGTTAACTGTCCTTACCCTGCTTGATTTCAGTAACGCATTCAATACCATAGATTTTGATATTCTTGTGGAATTACTGCGCTCTCTTAACATATCTCCATCTGTGGTTGAATGGTTTCGCAATTATTTATATGGGCGTCGGCAGAGGATTCACATAGATGATACCTTCTCATCTTGGTGTGATTCGTTTGCCGGCGTTCCTCAAGGTGGCGTTTTATCTCCTCTACTTTTTGCAGTCTTTATAAACTCAATCTCTAAATTACTGACTTCTTCCTACCATCTATATGCAGACGATCTTCAAATATATTATCAGGCTTCACAAGACAAACTTAATGATGCAATTACTGTAGTTAACAATGACCTGACGCATATAACCAACTGGAGTAAAGCATTTGGCTTGACAGTTAATCCAACAAAAACTCAAGCCATTATAGTCGGGAGCTCGAGGCTAATTAGTAAAATTGACTGGACAACAACCACTACAATTGGACTGAACGGCGTCGAAATACCATTTACTAGTTTCGTTAAAAACTTAGGCATCCATATAGATACCTGTCTAACTTGGGGAAACCAAATAAAAGCCGTTAGCAAGAAAGTATTTGCAACTTTAGGCTCACTACGAAGACTTCGCAATTTCCTGCCTATTGCTACCAAAATTGCGTTGTCTCAATCTCTTCTTCATCCGATACTTGATTACGCTGACACCTGTTACCCCAATATTACAGAAGTCCAACTTAATAAACTTGAGCGACTTCAAAATATTTTTATCAGATTTATTTTCGGTCTCCGAAAATATGATCATATTTCCGAGTTTCGCACTAAACTCAAGTGGCTTCCCATTCGCTTTCGTCGGAATACTCACCTTCTTACCCTTCTTCATAACATTCTTTATAACCCTTCAACTCCTCACTACTTGAAGGAGCGGTTTACCTTCCTCCATGCCTCGAATAGCGTTGATCTTAGGTCGTCAGAGAGTCTCCAGTTAAAGACACCAAGACATAGCACTACATTCTACGACAAATCGTTTAGTGTGCTAGCTGTTCGTCTTTGGAACGAACTGCCCACATCTGTTCGAAGACTAAAATCACTGCAGAGCTTCAAATTAGGCATCAAAAACCACTATTTACGTAAGTTGTCGTAATAGTAGTATTACGGTCATATGTATGTGTAATTGTATATATATTCATATTTATATATGTGTATGTAAGTTTATTATATTATTTTGTATTGTATTATGTTATATGTATATTTATAACTTTTCTTCCAATATTGTTACCGTCATTACACCTCTACCAGACGCAAATCTAATCACTTCTCTCCATCCTAAGGTTGCCTGGAAGAGATCGCTTTTTAGCGATAAGGCCGCCCATTGTTACCTCTTTGTCTTGTTTATTGTATTATATATATTTTTTTATCATTTTGTACATAATTGTATATGTAATTGTATTTTCTGTGAGAGGAACAATAAAGAGTTTCATTCATTCATTCATTCATTCAATAATAATAATAGTCTCAGGACAATTCACACAACGCTATCTAGTCCCAAGTTAAGCTAGCTAAACCTTATGTAATGGGTACTAGATAACTGATGCAAATACATAGATTATTTTCGTAAATACTAATACTATATATATATTATATGTAAGATGTATGTATTTACGAAAAAAATATCTATGTATTTGTATACCACCAAAACCGATACAAACAATCATACTCATGAATACAAATGTTTCTGCCGTTCAAGGAATCGAACCCGCGACCATAGGAAGTAAAGCGGTGTGCTAAACCGCTAGACCATCGAGGCCGTTAATTAATGATTAATCTATGTAACATTGCTCTGTGATTGTTTCACAATTACTCATCACAAGTTACATAAAACATTGTCTATTCATATTATAAGGACACGCTATGCAAACTTTACATACATATTTAAACGCCGACTTTTTCTGTTTCTTTTTTACTATACGTCCGTCCTAGTATATAAATTAGACTCTGTTTGTTCTAGTAATATAATCTATCTTGATGTCAAATTTCATTAGTATCTGTTCAGACGTTTAGTCGTGACATACTATCAAACTGACAGATACGCATACACATTTCTTAAACTTACATAAAAAAACCATCTATTTGTTAGAACAGACAGACAGACATCCGTTTGACGGCTGGTCCGATTTAGGCGACACTTTCACTTGCAAATAGATAATATTATAAGGAGTAACTTAGGCTACTTATATTATAAAATTGTTATTTAAATTTATACCACACGGACGAAATCGCGAGTAACAGCTAGTGTAACAATAAATTTGATCAATTTTATTTATTTATTTAATTCAGGCTACATGGCCCATATTATAAATACCTTATACACTAACATACATAAGAAAAAATCAAATATGTAAAATAAAATTGTCTCTATGGTCACGGCACTGACGACGGCAATCTGCCACGGTAGCGCCGGTACACCACACCCTTCGGCCAGTAGTCCTCCTTCATGAAGGTGGGCAGCATATTGGTGGGGACCAGGGCCACGAACGCTTTGAAGCTCGCGTTGTGGCTCGATTCCAACCAACCATTCAATGGCCAGTTGTTTTTTCTGATCGTCTCCAAGGAAAACCAGGGCTGACTCACGCTACAGTTTCCACTGTCACTTTTTGTTGCGATGATACAACAGGTTATTGCATTGTTTTTGGACGTAAAAAAACAGAACGGAGGTCGTTGCGTCACTAATTAAAATTCCTCGTGCAAATCGAGGAGCGCAGCCTTCGAGGCTATACCACGGTAACCGGCCACGCGCGCAACTTCTCTACATCAATAATATATCTCAATTCAAACGGGGATCGATATTACGACGGCCTGAGCCGAGGTTCGAACCCCTAGCGGTGACCTCAGACTAAAATCGTATCCGTCAGGCAGGAGTTGGCCTTCAGCCGCTCCATAAGTCCTTCCGCGGGTTTGGAGTGCCATCTGCACTCGCCCCATATCGTCCGGTGAAGCTGTAAAGGCCAGCTGCGGCTAACAGCATTAGAGTAATCCAAAAAAAAGCTAATGATACGCTAGACCTATCCCGAGATAGAGTTGGTTTATTGTGTATTCACTCACTTATATCTGTATTTGATATTGCCACTTACCATCAGGTAGGCCGTATGCTTCTTTGTCATTTCATAAAAAAAATATTAATTTCGTCTTGTCATCATGACATGCGACAAAGGCTCCCGGCGGAAAAATTGGCGCCGAAAAATTAGGAGAGAAAGTGGGACAGAGCTAAGAGGAAGAAGAAGAATTGCTACCAATATAACATAGCAGGCTGACCTCTAAGCAGTTCCCTCTGGAAACCATAGTGATAAATTCCTGGTGAATTTACCACGATGGGTTAACTGGCCTGACCTCCTATTTATCATCCTCCACTGGTGCACCGTCAGCGTAAACCGTTAACGCAGAAAGGTACACCATACCATTATCATATATTAAGAGTGAGGCCTCCCCCGAAATGACTACACAGCATATGCTAATCCGATCTCCAATTTATCGTAGGTTGCCGGCTTTTTATTTAACTAGTGGTCGCCCAATGAATTACATTCAACCATAATTAATTTAAACTATAAGTTTCAACATTATTAAGATTCTATTGTCAAAGAATACTTCTATCCGTCTGTATATCACATACAAAGTAGTATATGTTTTTTTTATTTAATGTATTTATTAAGCATAAATAAAAAATATATATTAACTCCACTCATTCTCTTATATAAATTATGAGTGTGCGAAATTTCATTACATCAGCTACCTGCCAAAAAAAGTCCCGACAAAATAGATCCAGCCATTTCAAAGATTACCCGGAACAAACAGACAAAAATTGTAAAAAATGTAATTTTGGTGTATGTACCATATTTATATGCATGTACTAAAACACGGTTATTTCCATATTACAAACAGACACTCCAATTTTGTTTAATAACAATGATTATACAAATCATTTAACTCAATGATAGGTTCGTGTTAATGAAACATCATTATAAAGTAATGACTTATAAAATTGATGTGATTCTTCATTAGTAACAGATTTTCCATTCATTTTAAATACTTTCACCTATAGAAAGGTATAATACATTATTAGTAAGTATATGGACTCTATTTTGTTTAAATAAATTTTAAACATCCTCACAAAAATGATACCAATCTGGAGCAGGCCTTTAGTATGTTATAATTTTCATAAACTAACATAGATATATTGAATTACAGTAGTGAATAAAGTAATTAATTTAAATATAATGAATTATTTAATTCACTATATTTAAATTAATAAAATAATAAATTAATAATAAAATTACAGTTTGCTCTACCTCTAATTTATTTCAACTAACAAACATTCCTATAATATTCAACATATACACTAATAAAAAATGAAGATAACATATTCACGTTATTGTATTTTAAAATAAATCAATTCCGTTTGCAGGCGTATACGTAAATACGATTTTCCGGAGGGAAAACACCGGTCCGGGAAAACTGTGAGTTCACGCGACTCTACCAAACAAATGTGTAATAAAACTTTATTTAATAAACTCACCAGTACATGTCGGGATGGTAGATGGTCACAGCACTGGCTAGTAAATGGACAATATGTATTTCACAGCACAGTCACGTAGTATTTGATTAGCGCACTGTCGCGAGCCGCATGCCGTCCGAACGCGGTGAGTGTCGGAACACGAATGTGGTCTGGCGTTGGGCGGAGGCGCTCCGCTCGGGTGACTGCGGGCCTGCGATCAGTGTAGCCAACCCTACGGATTTAACAGTGGCTCTAGTTTTTAGGAAATTCAACAAAGTTCAATGTAGGCAACCCTACAGTTTTAACAATATTCAATTTTTTGGAAATTCAACTAAAGTTTTGTTAGGTGTATATATATACGACCTCCTCATCGATTATTTTTTAATAATAGTTTAGTGTAAAAAAATATTGAAGCAATACAATTCTTCTGCAAACGAACGTATTATTTATTGGTCATAACATATCATCTTAACACAAAAGAACCCAACCACAAGTTTAGTACTGATAACCTTACAATTTTAACAATAAATATACAGTTTTATTGGAAATTAAACAAAAGTTCAGTATAGCTTGAGTGGAGACTTCGCCTCGCTTTGTGTGTTCTACCGATTACACAACGGACTGTGTTCTGAGGAATTGTTCGACATGATGCCGACAGCCACCTTTTACCACCGCACCGCTCGCCATCGACATGATGCCGACAGCCACCTTTCATCAGGAATTCACACACTAGAACCTAAGTGGTCCCGAACAGTGCGGTTTCAGAGGAGTTTCCTCCCGCGTACACTTAGATTGTGGAATGAACTTCCTGCCGAGGTTTTCCCATGAGACTACAGCATGGGGTTTTTCAAGAAGGGTATATTAAGGTTTCTCAAGGGTCGGCAACGCGCAAGTGATACCTCTGGTGTTTCAGGCGTTCATAGGCTACGGTAACCATTTACCATCAGATGGGCCGTATGCTTGATTGCCACCATAGTAGTATAAAAAAAATATATATATATATAGTTATATAGAAATTATTATCTTTTATTCACGCCATTTATCACTAACTCTTCCGTCCAGTTGAGGTAACTACTTCAATCGAGGTGGTGTCATATTATTACGTCACCACACGGATAAAAATCACCAACTATTGCACAAAAATGTAATTGGTCAGTTAGTTACAAATAAACATAAACTTTATTCAAATAAACATAAGCACTTTTGAACAGATATTTTTTTATTCTACCACTCATTAGGAACGCAGAGTCATCAGACATCACAAGAAGAATGAGCAAGACATAGAAATGATCTTTATTCAAATATACTAAATATATACTATACTTTTGAATAGTCGCATTTTTTTATTCTAGCATTCAGTCGGAACACAGACTCATCACAAGAAGAACGAGCAAGAAACTTGCGTGTTGCTCTTTTAAATGAAGTTTGTTTTAAGTGATATTATTAACAGTTATAGCTTGCATACAGATCTATATCTGTCTATCTATTCTCCCAAATTTGACTTTAAATGAATCTGTATTATTGTGTACACGTACAACATTTATTTGAAAAGAATACGAGCTGAGTTTCTTGTCAGTTCTCATCTCGGAATCATTCCGAACTGACGGTAGATTTGACATATAAGAGTCTGTAATAGACCTATATGAATAAATATATTTTGAATTTGAATAGAAATTTATTGTTAGCAATTAGTTAGACACACATAAAATTTACAACATTTCCGTGCAATGACTCTATAGGTGAAGGTGCAGAGTAAACACATTGTTCTTAATCATACCTATTCATTGACGAACCGATATATGCATATATATATATATGCTGATTTTATATTCACACGTTTTCATAATGCATACATAGTACGTTTGATGGTAAAATATGTTCATGGCGAACTCAAATAACCATTAGAAAACGTCATAACTAATGTACGTAACTGCATAACTACGCCCATTGTCCTTTGTGTAATAAATTCCAGATAAATCATTTGAAAACTATCTCAACCTATGAATTGTTATTGACGTGAGTAATACAGTAGACTACATTCAAATTGGTGACATTCCGACAAATAAATACATATATACATCAAGGAACGAGATGGTTGACTACATCTGGACACAGGAGTATTGGTGACATTCTGACAAATAAATACATATATACATCAAGGAACGAGATGGTTGACTACATCTGGACACAGGAGTATTGGTGACATCCTGACAAATAAATACATATATAGATCAAGGAACGAGATGGTTGACTACATCTGGGCACAGGAGTATTGGTGACATCCTGACAAATAAATACATATATACATCAAGGAACGAGATGGTTGACTACATCTGGACTGGAGTACTAGTGACATTCCGACAAATCTAAATATATATAACTCAAAGGTGACTGACATAGTGATCTATCACCGCACAGCCCAAACCACTGGACGGATCGGGCTGAAATTTGGCATGCAGGTAGATGTTATGATGTAGGCATCCGCTAAGAAAGGATTTTGATAAATTCCACCCCTAAGGGGATAAATTAACGCGAGCGAAGCCGCGGGCAAAAGCTAGTTTTCTAATATATGTTCGTCTTTTAAAGTATATATAATATGAGCCAGTATTATGCTGCAGTCGCTATCGAGTTTTACATAAAACCAATGTATAATCTCACCGCGGATTCAGCTTTGACGACCTCGGTAGTCTAGCGGTCTAGCACACCGCTTTACGACCGATGGTCGCGGGTTCAACTCCTCGCACGGCACAAACATTTGTATTCTAAGTATGATTGTTTGTATTGGTCTGGGTGTTTTCTATGTATTTACAAAAAAAATCTATGTATCTTTATCAGTCGTCTAGTACCCATAATACAAGCTTTAGCTAGCTTAACTTGGGTCTAGATGGCGCTGTGTGAATTGTCCTGAGATTATAATTATTATTATAGCTTTCGAATTCATAAATGATGCTTACTGAATGGCTCTATGAAATACATACGTCTACAAGCAAGCTAACCGACTGCCTCAGTGTTCTAAAAGTTTAGCACACCACTTCACTTTCGATGGCCGTGGGTTCGATTCCTCGCATGATATAAAAATTATATTTATGAGTAAGATAAATAACCCATTCATGTTCCTTGTCAATTCTAAATGTAAACCAATTAACTTTGCGTTAACAGTTATTGATGCAATAATTTTCTCCGTTAGGTGTAAACAGATAAAGTGATAATTGATCCATTAATATAATTGTTGGTAATATGAATCGGACAGTTCCCAACTCGTTAGGTTATCTCAGATAAACTGTCGCCAACAATTTAACTAAATGGTTTTTAGTTAACAGTTACTTTGTTGTTTATCTGAGAACTAGCTACTCGCTGTGGCTTCGCACGAGCATACATCTACACATATACATAAAATTGGAGTGTCTGTTTGTAATGTTGAAATAACCGTTTTTACTACGTGCATATGAATATAAATACGGTACGTACACCAAAATAACTATTTTTGTCTGTCTGCCTGTCTGTTTGTTCCGGCTAATCTCTAAAATGACTGGACCGATTTTGACGAGACTTTTATTGGCAGGTAGCTAATGTAATAAGGAGTAACTTAGGCTACCTTTAAAAAAATATATTTTAGAAGAATAAAGCTAAGGAAGGTATAACATATGAATGTGGATGGTTATAAGGGCAGAGGAAGGCCTAAAAAGAGATGGATGGACTGTGTGAAAGATGATATGGTGAGAAAGGGAGTAAATAACGAGATGACTGCGAACAGAATGGAATGAAAGTAAGTAAAGTAATGGATGGAAGTGAAAACCATATTACGACGACCACAAATAAAGGGGATAAGGAAGAAGCAGATGATGATGAAAGTCAAATTCCACGCGGACGAAGTCGCGTATACAGCTAGTTACTAAATAAACCAGATTTCTATTTCGCTCATAACTGAACTATGATTCAACCATCGCGTTTAGTAATCAATATTATAATTTGTGTTGCTATAGACGACTGAATTTCACGGTTCACTTCACGGACTAACGCTGAAAACTGTACTATTGCTGTTTATGTAACTGAAATACTAGCGGAGCATCTTATTGACAGTTTTATAAAAGTAGGTGATTATACTAACAAAAGTTTACGTAATATCAACAAACATTAGTCTTGTGGATGATAATGGAATGGTGCACCCGCCTGCGCTAACGGTTTACGCTGGTGGGGCACCAGTGGAGGATGATAAGATGAGCATGAGGCGGGTGCACCATTCCATTATCATCCACAAGACTAATGTTTGTTGATATTACGTAAACTTTTGTTAGTATATACACCTACTTTTATAAAACTTTCAAATAAATAAAATTATCAGCTATAAGAAATTCAGCATGAATATATAACGATGGTTTCCAAGGGGAACCGCGTGGAGGTTAACCTGACATGGTACATTGCTCGTTATAGGGCTATTAGTCCACTTTATTAACAAAATCCTTCTCTCCTCCAGATGATCATGAAGTGAAGGTATTTTTTTTTATTGGGTTATTTGGGCTATTGTCAGAGGTGTAGCACCTGTAGCACTTGTGAAGTGAAGGTAAGTACATGACAATAGCAACGAGCCGTGACAGATCGTGGTGCAGCGTCAGTATCCTTGGGGACAGACGAGTGCCTACACGCGGCGCCGCTTTCATGGTTATTTCATACATTTGTTCAATTATATACATTCAATGTCGACTTTTTTATACATTATTTTCTTTAATCATTGTTAATTGTTCACGGTTTGCTGAATTAAAATAGGCATTTAGCTGTTAGTGGGACTGACTGTGAAATGTTTATTTTCTGCCCAATGAAAGTTTATACTATACTAGTTGTGCCCGCGGTTTCATACGCTTGAAATTATAATAATAGCCTATATGTTATTTTGATTTTAATACTAGATTTAAAGACAAACTTTCTGTCCCCAAGTATCGTTTAAAAAAAGTCAATAGGTCTTTTATGGGAATAGGTATAAACATTTACAATAAGATACCAAAGGATATATTGGAATTACCCTTAAATAAATTCAAAACATCTGTTAAATCATATTTACTGAGCAAGGCCTATTACTCACTAAACGATTACTTGAATGACGAGCGTGCATGGCAATAGTTGTTCATGCACGGGATTTTCATTTAATGTTAGACATAGACACCTATATAAATATACATTGTA